AAAGCGACTACGACTCTTCCCACGGCGGTGGTGTTTGATTGGCAAACAATTAGCTACTACGACATCGAAGGGTAAAAGGAACGACGACGATGAGAAGAGAATCGAACATGAAATATATCGCGCGAGAATCTTTGACCGGGGTCATGCATCCCTCTTACAACCTTTTTCCACCCTCTTCTCTATTTTTATCTCTATCTCTTTCGTAAGGTAGTGCGTCTGCTAGTACTAGTACAATGAGAACAATACCATAACCCTCCCGCCAGAGTAAAAAGACAAAGGCCATTCCTGGGACAAAACCATCGTCTCTATCGTTACCGTCGTCACCGTCATCGTCGCCAGTCTACGGAGAAGACGACGAACATGCTAACACGATACGGATAAACGGATCGTAAGCTTTATTGTTTACTTGAATTTACGCTATTCTCGTTAATAATTGAATTACGTATCTAACACATTAACGCTGGTCATTATCTATAAAAATCGTATGAAAATACGAAAGAACGAGAATAACGAGAATTATCAAATGTCATAAAGTCACAAATAAAAAAATCTCATAAAGAGATGAATATAATAAAACTAAAAAAAGAAAAACGATAGAAAGAGATTTGCATAAATTAAATTTTCATAATACTGACTGCTATTTAATTAAGCAGTAACTGGCACGAAGAAACACAAAGAGAGCGAGAGGGACAATTTTGGCTACGTCGCTGTGCATTATATCGTTTTGAATTAAACGTGCCGCGACCGAGAACTACGTGTTTTAATATAAGGGTTTCGAATTTCACGTGCGCGCACATCCACAGAGACCTCCCAAAAGTTCGGTTCTCTCGTTCTCCATGTCCGCTCTCTTCATCCGTTTTTGCTCCCTTTCGCGCGTTACCCCCTTTTCTGCTTCTATTCCAGAAACTACTCCCCAATACTCGCCCGTTATTTTCGGAAACCTTGTCAAATCGCGTTCTTTTTAATTGGTGGGACGCGTTTCGCGCGCGCAAACGTACGAACTCGTGCGTATGTATTTTTTTTTCTTTCTCTGGTATCTCCTTCCCGCCTCTGCTCTTCCGATAGCCGAACGAACGGCTTTTTTCGACAGTCGCGCGAATTTCAGTAACATCGTTCCTTTGTTACAACAGCAAACCACGGTTCGGTCGCGGCGGGTACAGAGAGTATCGGCTCGAGTATCCGAAACCGACGTCGTGGCGAGTCGGATGTACAAGAGATAGAAAAGTATTCACGGTTGGAGTTGTTGCACCGCGCGAAAACTCAATGTGGACAATTCCCCGATTGAATTCTGCCGCTTTGCTCGCAGTGAACGAAAGAGAACAGATTATCTTAATTTTCAAAATACAATCTATCCACTAAATAGATCGCCATCAATTATTCACCGGACGCTACATCTCGGAATTGCACGGTAACCGATCAGTTATCTAATTAATATTTCTTACGCGGTCTCTCTTTTCGCGAAAACGATAGCTTTCGAAAACCGAGGTAACCTGATGTATATTTTCAAACGTGAAAGGCGTGACCACGCTCGCACGACTCTTTGTATTCTACAAAGTACGACAATGAGATGTACGCGGATCGTTTAGCAAGTCGTTTTCACGACCCCGCTTGCAATCGGCGAGGATCGCACTCGCGCGAGAAACGTCTCGTGGAAACGTCGTCGTCTTTAGAGCTACTTAACAGTCCCACGAAACGGTCGATTCCTGTGGTTTGACACCAAGCGTGCGCGCGCGCAAGCACGCACTCCAAGAGACGGTGAGAGAAGAAAGATGCGTGTGTGTGTTCTCTGGCATTCGTGCGAAATGCATTTAAGCCACCGCGACGAATCGTTAACGTTCTTCTAATCGCTGCGCGCACCTCCAAGTAAAGAACAACCAGACGAACATAGAATAGTTATCGCGGGGTTTTCTCGTCGAGGAGGTCAAACGAGATTGGCAATATTCGTTGGCGAGCACTGCACACGTCTCGGCATGTGCGACACATAATAAGAAGTCTTCTTCTTCAATAGATTAAATGTTATTCTCGATTGATAAGTTAAATAAAATAAAATTTTACTAACTGTATTTTGTAATATTTTTGTCAATATGGTTTCGCGCGATTTTATTGTTGTACATATCCGAGAGAAAATTGTCAACACAATATCATTTCTGTCGATATATTTTTATATTAAAACAACTCTCAAGCAATGATATATATATGTAGGTCGATAATACGTCCGATAAGAGCAGAATAAAACAGGCTTTGGGCAACAGCCAAAATAAAAATACACAGCGTAATTGCGAAATGTATCTTTAAAGCAAAGAGAAAAAAATGTTAAAACAAAGCGAATCTGTAGTTGTTTCTCACTTATTCTTATTAAGTATCGGTAAATAAAAACTATTCAGTAATTATGTATCCCGCATAATGTTATAACTATTTTCTTGTAATTTCACGTGTAAAATTTCGGAGATTAACGTTTTTGATCATTTGAGTCTTTGCAATTAGTGTCGACAATATATCAATGTTTCAGAAAAACGGACGAAAAAGAGAGAAAAAATTCGAAAAAAAATTAAAATCACGTACTTATCTTACTGATCATAGAAAAATATACCAAATTAAAATCTTTTTTTGTGGTAAACATTTCCTGAGTCAAGAATTTTTATATTACGTTATTGAATTAAATCATGACTCAAATCCTATTCTGCGTAACACATTAACAATGGATCGAAATAGATAAAAAAAAAGTCACAGCAAATTCAAATAAGGCTTCTACATAACATTTTGAACGCTTACTGGGCAAAACACAGTGTTTTTTTTTTTTTTTAATTTATACCTGTATTATAATTAATACAATATGATGATACAAATGTAAACAGGTATAATCTGCGTGAGGTCCTTTTGCACAATGAATAAATAATTGTAAACCGTGCGCAAAGCTTTAAAGTCTACTTAGCGCAGCTAACGATTCGGAAGTGGTGTTTGCCGTGAGATTTCGAGCGAGATTCGCTCTCTTCGCGCCCCGTTCCCGCGTCGGAACGGAGGTAAGCGTACGAGAGAGAGTTCGCCGAGACACGCTCGTTGTCGGAAATAACGACATAATGACATGGTGGAGGATGAGCGCCTGAGGTAGATAAATTCAAGACGAAGCGGTCAGAGAGAGAGAGAAAGAGAGAGACAGAGAGCGAGAGAAAGGAAGATCGAAAGGAAGAACCGAGTGGGAGAGGAAGAAGAGGGGAGGGAGAAAGAGAGAGAGAGAGAGAGAAGAAAGAACAAGAGAGGAAGGAGGTGGGATCATTGGCGTGTCTCGCCAGCATCCCTGACCATCGCCGGTGGTTCATCAACTCCGAGGAGTTGAAGAAGCCTTAATAGGCTCTCCTGCTAGAGTCGGGACCACGTCATGCACCCTTTTGCCTCATATCTCGACCTGATTTCGCGCGCGATTCTCACCGCCTGGCTGTCAGCTACGATTTGACCGAATTTATTAATTATGCGTGTCTTGAATTTTTGCTCACGAAATAAATCACGAAATAAAAGACGCTCTGTGTACATGTGCGATAAAATTAGAGATTCAAGTCACGTGATAGCGACGAGTGTGAATGCTGCAGATATTATAATATAGAATTTTGCACACTCACGTGTCACTACTTTTTTTCTCTTTCTCGATATCTTTTTCTCCCACATATGCGCGTGCATGACATTCACTAAGAAGTTAAGTCGACATTGCTTTTATTCTTCGGTCTTAAACCATAAATTTCATGATTAATTAATACTTGACAATGCTCTTTCTTACAATATAATCTTTATTCTTGTTATCTTCGGTCATGCTGAAGAAAAAGCGTAATTATTCCCCGTAAGCGCGCAATATTCCATCTTTTCTCTCTAATTATTATAGTAATCTTCGATGAACGCGTGCACCGCCGAAGTGCAATCGCAATAATTTTAATAGCGCTTTATCGCGTTACCGGGCCGATACAAATCGCTAGTAGATATATATTGATAGAACACGAAATTCCACGGCAAATGAAACAATGGAGAAATTGAGTGGTCAACGCGCCGACGCGTATTACCGCGATAATTCCCAATAATTTATCACAGCCGCGCGTTGCCGTCCCCTCGTGTAATCGTCGTCGTCGTCGTCGTCGTCGTTGTCGTTGTCGTCGTCGTCGTCGCCGCATTTCGAGCATCATGAAGAATTAAACGCCGTCGCGCGCGTCGGTTGCGTCGCGGGGTTTATCGGCCGTAAAGAATCGCCGAGGCTGCTCTCTCCTCCTCCTCCCTTTAATGGGTTCACGCGCTGTGGAATCGCGCACAAAGCGCGCGACACGACCCGCGAGATCGCAACCGCGCGTGCCATGCTCTCTTTAACACTAAAACCGCCCAATTTTGCCCACTATTTAGCGACGCCATGCTTCGCCGCAAATGAATTAGCTGCGAATCTGCGGAAGCACGCTCGCGCGCGCGGATCGATATTTGTGTTCTGCACAGTTCATTTTCACATTGCATTTTTTCGAACACGGCTCTATTAGAGATTTTAACATATATTGTGTTGTGAAAATTAATCATTACTAGATTTTTAAACAATCCAATGAAATTATACCGGTTTGAAATAATAGACAAAAAAATGCTTTGCTAAAAAAAAAAAAAAAAAACAAATTTGTTCAATTTACTCTCTTTTGTAAATAGCCAAACGAATTTGGTCAAACAAAAAATGAGACACAATAGGTTTGAACTAGTAAAGTGCTTTGTTGGAAAACCGAAGGTTTAACTTTTGACCGAGATAATAGTGTTTGCAAAGTTTTTTACAATTTATTCGCAAAAGGATCACATCACATGAAATGCCAGTAAGATCATCTAAATCTCTATTCATTTAAAATTAGTTATGAGTGTGTGTGTGTAAATATTACATACATATATTTATATATATATATTTTTTTTTTGCACCGATATGACGTCCGCATTGACTCTCTTATAGAAGCCTTATTGAAATTTTTTGATTTCGAGATATGGCAGAAATTACTCACCATAGAAACGGGGATGGGTCCTCCGGCTCCATTAGGGTATGGATATGGCGAGACAAGGTAGCCCATGTTGAAAGAGGAGGTGTGTGGCGTTGGATCCACCTTTCCTGTTTCAGAACAAACGAGAACACGATTATTATTAGACAATACAATTCCAATTTTATCTTTGAATAATAAAGTACGCGTCCAAAATCGATTACGTTCGATACATTCGAGCATCGACTTTAGTATTACGTATTTTTTTTTAAAGGAGAAAAAGACTACATAATTTACACTTGAAAGAGAATTTGCGATGTTTATGTGATGTTATTTGTACTAGTTAAGCCCGGTTTTATTATTATCACCGGATTGCAACATAGTAGTGGAACGTTAAACGGACCACAGACGAAGAAACGTTTCTCTAAATGACATCTTGCACGCAAAACCAAATTGTAGAAAAGTAAAAAAAGAGTTCCCGAAAGAGAGAATCCGACGTTCGACTGTGGCACGACAATTTGCGGTTCATGCAACATCGACCCTAATTATACGTTTTCCATACAAATCACTTTCATTTTTTCTTTTTTTCATAACAGTTTGCCGAAAAAGAGCAAGATTGTCTGTATTTATCTTATCTGGTTTTACCTCGACCCAATTCGCACCTGTTCAAGCTTTTCGTACGAGCGAGATATCTTTCTGCAACTATTTATATGTGCAAAAATATGTGAAATGCAACATTAAAACAATAAGCGAACGATAAGCGGAGTCTGCTGTGTCTCAATTTAACACGGCGTTGAAAACGTCGAGAGCTCGCGATTTAATCACATATTTTTTTTGTTAATGAAAGATCTCTTGATATCATACGCCAAATTCATGTTTTTTTTTTTTTTTTTTTTTTTCATTCTAAATCTTCGTATAAATATTATATCTTAGAACCGTCTTTGTTTAATAGGATTCATTCGCCATTCGCGCAAACCAGACTAATCCCGGCGAGTATACGCTTCGAAACCTGCTTCGAAGATTCTGAGACGATACCAATCGCCGATCGTCACAGCTAATTCTTGCCGAGATGAATGTTGAGATCGAAAAGACCTTTTTGGCTTATCCTTCCGCGAAATCCGAATCCGTTGTTTCGAACAGAAGAAATACGAACAACCTCGTCCCGCCGATACCGATCGTTCCGAAATGCTGCGCATCCGGAATCGTCTCTCCGTGATCGAGACGAATTTCGCGTCAGCGTATAAAATCATTTCTCCCGCTTGTCGATTCCTCAAAACTCGATCGTTTCGGACGAAACCTGGAACTTGCTTGAATTGATAACGATCGTCAGCTGCATATAATTCCGAGACAGAGAAAGAACGAATTTGTGAATGCGATATACCTTGCAATTGTCGCGCGCAATCGACGCAGCATCTTTTTCCACGGAGCGATACGAGACGCGCGTGCGCGCAGCACTTTTCGCTCGTCTCAAGTTATTAAGACGCGAACGCTTCGGCGTGATTCACACGAACGAACGCACGCGGACGATTAAATTGTCAGCTACGCGACTCTATAAATAACGCAACGCAGCGCCGCATACCACCGAGTCGGATCCCGGTAATCCTCGTTTTATCAACGCCTGCGAGTCTGCCGATGAAAAGCTCTCGCGAAAGAGAGAGAAAGAGAGAAAGAAAGTGAGCTCCGTTTTATCGAGATTTCCGCGGTAAAACATTCGGCAAAATTTTGCACGAAATTATTGAGAGAAAGAGAAATGTATAGCGCGAAAAATCATGAATATATAAAAATGCGCATTATTAGCCTGCACGGAAATGTTTCAAAAGAATCTAATCGAAAATCGCGATCAATCTTATTCTTCAAAGTTATTTCACGTTGTTCGATCGGTGAATCTGATCGGGGAAACGCGCCTTTCGGAACCACAATTCCACAAGAAATCCAAAACATTTCACATCAAGTTCGATCAAAACACATTCGATGAACCATGCGATGCTTTAGTGAGAAAAAAACGAATTTTGCAATTTGCATTACGATGGATTTTCAAAGATCAAACATTCACACAAATCGCGCTTATCGCAAATAAAACCGCGTGAAAAAAAGCCGCGCAAAAAAAAATCGCTTGTCTAGCGCTTATAGCTGTATAACTTAAACCGCGTTCCTCTCGCAGTTACCCGCTACCGCGGAGTGCGTATCCTGGGCGCACATGTGCGCCACACTCCTCGTGTCCAAAGTTTATTGCCAGTTCGTTTATCTTTCTCTCTCCCTTTCTGTTTCTCTCTCTTTTTTCTTCTCTCTCGCACCCGCACCTTTTTGTCCGTTCTTTCCATCATGATCGGCACGTCCTCCTCCGCGCCCGCTTCTCGACCCCCGGGCATGTTCCGTCGGCTTTCCGACCGGCGCCGACTCAAAGTTCGTGCACTCAATTCCTCTCCTCTCTTCCCATTTTCTATACCCTTTCTCGCGTCCTTTCCCCTCTCTTTCGCTCCTCTCCCGCGGGGTTTGTTTACTTCGCAGTCTTGTTGGAATAATACCCCGGTACGATAATTATAGATACCCGAGGCCTCACAATGCGACTTCGACACACGTTTACAACTGCGGACGCACACCCGCGGATATTTCTCGGTAGTGTATACACGCGCGGCGGCGGCGACGGATGACAATGAAACATTTCACGAGAGAGTCCGATATCGTATTTTCAATTACTCCCTTTGTTTTGTTTTGTTTTTTTTTTTTTTTTTTATTTTTTATTAACAATACAATACATGAGATCAGATATTGTTTTTTTATTCGCAGTTAATTAATAAAATACTGTCACTAAACGTATGACAAAGATAAATCTTTTTTTTTTCTCTCCCAACACTTGTTTCCGCGTGCGAAGAGAGGCACTTGTTCTCTCGTACCCTACTATGTATATACAGAACAGTCCACAACATTAGGTAAGTTGCACAGTAAACTTCTTGAAAAGTCTGGCCGAGAAAACACGCAGAGGGGAGTTTCAGGGGAACGAATATCAATTTATGAGAGGATGCAGCGATCGTGATTGCACGGGTTCTTAAGCAATATCCCCAGAGTTACCCGCGATTCCGCATCGACGATTCTTGGAAAGGCGCCTATTAGAACACAGAAGCCAAAGAGCGGAAGCCGTGAAGAGATTATTACTGAGCTCGGCATGTCCTGAAGCGTCCTCGATCTCGTGCCAAGTGCTCGCGAGCATTGCCTTATATACCCAGGGATCGTTCTCGTTTTGACGAAAAGCGGCGATACTTTTTTTTTATTTTTTCTACTTCGTATGTTTCCGCGAACAACAAGAATAATCGGACGAATGTCTCATGTACGTGCATGTGTGTTAAAAAAAGACACGATTGTACGGATCGTGCAAAAAACGAGAGAGAGAGAGAGAGAGAGAGAGAGAGAGAGAGAGAGAGATAAAAAAAAATTTTTCAATAAAACGAAAACAAACATTACTTTCCATATACACAACTTTAAAAATACAACAACCGATAACTCTTGAAATATTCCGTTTATTTTTATAGATTTGTCACATGCACGAAAACCAACAAGTTAAAATAAACAGTATTGTAAATAATGGTAACAGAAATAATGATAGAATTGTAAAAAATAGCATAAAATAGGATGATGTTATAAAAATAATTGTTTTACTTGTATTTACTTATATTTTACTTTGTATTTTATTTTACTTTGTATCTTGCGAAACAACAAGAGCAGAAAAGATATCAATCTAACGTGTCCCAATTATTGCTTCTTGCACGATCACTTTAGTTTTCAATCGAAAATCGCGAATCAATTCGAAGATAAGAAAATGCACTGCGCGGCTATTTACAAACTTCTTCTAAATTCGAGCTTCACACACGCTCGGATCCGAGTTAAAAAGGACACAAAAGCAAAAGAGCGTGCCGTTAATGCCATTACAGACAAGCTTGTGTGTACAGCTTGTTGTCGGCTGGTAAATTACTATAATTGTGAAGTTCCGGCGATTTTTAGATTAGCTCTGGTCCATCAACCGTATATACCTACCTACCGACCTGCCGACACTGCCCAACGATCCTCAACTCACCGCAGACCCGCAAGCAATCAACCGTATTCACGAAAACCGTATCTAGTGCTAACCGTTCGATTTTTAGTTTGCATTTATTTTCACCTTTTTGCAAAACTACAATAGATCTACTATATAGTTATCATAAATATATAGTAAATCATAAAAATATAAGTTTCCCTTAGCGCTAAACATCTAAACGAAGAGAGTGAGAGAGAGAGAGAGAGAGAGAGAGAGAGAGAAAGGAAAGAGAAAGAGAGAGGGAAAGAAAGACAGAGAGAAAAATAAAACTTGTACTTAATTTCTTTTTAAAAAACGTGTAACGCATTAAATTCTTAAAAGGAAATGCGAAATTTCGATTAAAAATGCGCGAAGACCTCGTTATATACGTTGCAGACGCGCAAACAAGCCTCTCCCTCGATTAATTAATATAACTAATTAAGACCAAATTAAAAACACACCACTCAACCTGGCAATTAACCCAAATTAATGGCGCCAATAATGCGCAACTGTCTTCATGTAATAACACTCAGCGAGAAACCATACAATTATTTTTACTTCCTTTATGAATTGTATCGAGGACGAAATTTCGCGCGCACGTCAGAGCAGCAAGACGAATTAATTCCATGTTTGCACGTTCAAAAATTCGATGTTTTTTTTTTAGTTATATATGTCAGTTTCTTTTCCCAAGAAAAATGTCCATCGTGAGAAAAAGGGAAGAAAAAATGTTAGAGATTAGGATACCTCTACCGCGCACGCGACACAAAAGACGACTTCCTTGTCCTTGAAGAAAAACCTTACTTTGTAAAGAAATTTTTATTTATGTTTCTCTCAAACACGTCTAAGAATTTTGTGACGTGAGAATTCTCTTTTTTCTTTTTTTATCAAAAACAATCTTTACCGCCAGAATGTTTACCGAAATATTTCATTAAAAACATTATACTTATATGACATTAACGATGAACAGAATAAAAATAGGATTAGTAAAAAAAACTAAAAACTCTATTCAATTCTAAAAAGTTTTGATTTCTGCAATTTAATCATTCAAGAAAAAAGTGTTTTTTTTTGTTTTCTAAAAAAAAA